GTTTTATTTGTTCAAATGAGGTGAATATTATAATGTTTAAGGAAAACATCTGAATTATCTGATGTCTTTGAAAGAAGACACAACGTCTTCTCGTGTGTTTGTTTAGGAAAGACGTCGAGTTTTTTATGTGTATTTATGAAACGTCTTCTCTACAATGGGTGACCCGATAATCTTGTTTCTTTTTATAAGGGATGATGTAGGTTTTATTTGTTCAAATGAGGTGAATATTATAATGTTTAAGGAAAACATCTGAATTATCTGATGTCTTTGAAAGAAGACACAACGTCTTCTCGTGTGTTTGTTTAGGAAAGACGTCGAGTTTTTTATGTGTATTTATGAAACGTCTTCTCTACAATGGGTGACCCGATAATCTTTACCTATGTAATTTCTTTTTCACTTCTCTACTTAGTGATTTTGTCGGCACAGATGTGAAGACGGAATCTCCCACAAGTAAATACATGCCAAAGTATGTTCCAAGAGATGAAGCATTTGAGGATCCGAAGAAAGCGGCACTGAGAGACGGGAAGTGGAAAGCAATGCTCAGTAGTGCATTCCCTATGCTGAAACAGGCATCATCCAACACTCAAGTCATCAACAATTTCTCCCAAATTACTTCACTTTATAAGCAGACTCCACCTTTTGAAATCAATTCAAGGCATGATGCATCTTGGGGGAATTTGCTCCATCACATGATCAAACAAAGCATTCAACATGTTTTCAAGTTTGACCCTCCAAAGCTCATTTCCAGTAAGCTCTTCTACTCAAATTTCTTCCTACTCAAATGCTTGATCATGTGACCAATCCCAAGATGATCCGACACAAATACGAATGCATTAAATTTGTTGTTGTAGGGGATGTTCCATCATGTTGCTTAAGAGATGATGAGTTGGGACGTTTAACCCTTGCTGGCATGAATCCCTTAAGCATAGAAAGGCTAAAGGTGAGCAAAATGGTCAATTACAGTAAATAAAACTGGGAAATTTGGATCAACTTATGCTAAAAACGTGTTCTTTTTTCTTTAGATCTTTCCACCAGTAAGCAAGCTGGATCCTTCTATCTATGGCTCTCAGGATTCAGCCTTAAAAGAAGAACATATCATTTGTCACCTTAATGGGATGACTGTACAGCAGGTATGGCAAAACAAGAACATATCATATGTCACCTTAATCACAAAATATATAATATGATTTGGGCTTTTTTTCTAGAGTAATTACCATATTCCGATATATATTGACTAAATTTATTGATATATTGCTCAATTCATTTGATGAAAAAACTAGTTGTGCTGTGAGTTTACTCATACTTTAACAAGTTTTAGATTCGTTCATTTGTTACGAGAAGATTTGATCATTTCATTATATATTAGTTTCATATGCATTCACTAATACTTAAGCAACTAATTTCGTTATTGTTCTTTTATTGCAATCAAAATTATCTACCTATTTATATTAGTGAGGGTTGTAAGTAACGCAAATAGTGAGTGAATTTGGAAACTGGATTACCTATAATTAAAGAGTGGTTGGAGTGGATAGTTTCATTTGACAATTTTATTCCCCTATTTCTCTTATAAAGGGGATAACCATTCTTCCTAAACTGATACACATAGTTGATGAATATGTTTCTTTCTTCTCGAAAATTTTTTCGTCGAAGAGAATAACACAAATAGGTTTCACTTCTCCACTTTGGGTGCATGAAATTTAAAAGGCTGTGTTAATTTTGGGAGACAATGATCATTATAGTGATTACGTTAAGACCATGATTTGTATCACGACATAATAAAACACCCTATATCTTTTATTACTCTATTATTACTTATTAGTTAATGCTAACGATATTGTTTTACAGTGTTTTTCGCTAACACAAGTATGAAACATATTAATGGAAGAGAATATGTTCTTTTAGTAGATTGATTATGTTATTTTAATGGAAATTCATCTTGCTTGAACTTGTGTATACAGGCAATAGAAGAGAATAAATTGTTTATATTAGATTACCATGATGTTTACATTCCATTTCTTGACCGCATAAACGCTGATCCGACCAAACGAGCGTATGCAACTCGAACGATCTTTGTCTTGACGGATATGGGATCGTTAAAGTCAGTTGCCGTTGAGCTCAGCCTCCCAGAGAAGAACCGGAATGTGCAATCGAAACGTGTTGTCACACCTCCCGTCGATGCCGCTACCTGCTGGTTGTGGCAACTTAGCAAAGCTCATGTCTGCTCCAATGATGCCGGTGCTCATCAACTAATTCATCATTGGTATTTGCAACCTTACTTAGCTCTACATACTGAATGATGAATTATAATCAAGGAATTGACGGCTGCACAGGACCACAGGTTGAGGACTCATGCGTGCCTTGAACCGTTTATTATTGCTGCGTACCGGCAATTAAGTGCGATGCATCCTGTTTACAAACTCCTCCATCCTCACATGCGGTACACATTGGACATAAAAGCACAGGGTCGACAACTTCTTAATGCTGGAGGAAAAATCGATTCCCACTTTTTCACTGCGGAGTGTTCAATGAAGGTTTCTGCTTCTGTGTACCGGAATTGGTGGCGCTTCGACATGGAAAGCCTTCCCGCAGACTTGATTCGAAGGTACAACCTTAACCCTCCTCATTCATGTCGGATCTCATTTAACTCAAATCTTATTTCTACTCAGAGGAATGGCCGTACCTGATGCAGCCAAGCCACATGGACTTAAACTACTCATCGAAGACTATCCGTACGCAACCGATGGCTTGCTAATATGGTCTGCAATCGAGCAACTTGTGACAACCTATCAATGCCTGGTACCATGAATGTATCAACGTAGGCCATGCAGACAGACATTAGCGATGCGAGCTGGTGGCCTAAACTCTCGACTCCTAACGATCTTATCTCCGTCCTCACCACCATTACCTGGATTGCATCAGGGCACCATGCGGCGGTGAACTTCGGGATGTACCCTTACGGGGGGTATGTTCCAGTACGTCCACCGTATATGAGGCGACTAGTGCCGAACAAAGACGAACCGCACTACGCAACGTTCCTAGCGGATCCAGAGGGATATTTCCTAGCATCACCGCCATGTTTAAGTGAAATGTTACACTATATATCTGTTCTTCACATACTTTCTTCACATTCAGGTGATGAAGAGTATTTGGGAGATAGAAAAGAGCTTTCAACTTGGAATGGAGAGCCTGAAATTTTGGAGGCATTCTACAAATTTTCCATGGAAATGAAGAAGACAGGGAAAGAGATAGAGAGAAGGAACGGTGACCCAAATCTTAGGAATAGATGTGGGGGTGGGATTTCACCATATGAGCTGCTTTTGCCTTCATCAGGACCTGGAGTTACATGCAGAGGAGTACCTAACAGTGTATCCATTTGAAGAAACAAAGGGTTTCATACTGTTGGTAATGCTAAATGGCGTAAGAGCATGTAATTCCAACATTGTGTTAGTGCATGTTTATTTATTTTCGAAGAGATACTCGTGTTCGTTTGTTTAGCGTTTGCGAATATATTCACGAACATATTCGTTTAGTCTGTATTTATATGTTCATGAACATTTGTGTTTATGAGCATACTTATTTGAAAACTAAAAAATGGTAAAATTATGCCACTAGTGCTTAAACTCCTTAAGCTTCATAGTTTAAACTCTAAATTTCATAAAATATTCAATTTAATCCCTTCATTCACCAATATTTAAAATATAAAAAAATAAAAAGTAAATGAACTTCTAAATGAGCCATTAAACAAGTTAGTTCATGAACATAAACGAATGATTCGATAAACAAGCTTATAAACGAGCTCGTTTGTTAGTGAACATAAACGAACCAAACACACATTTGTTCTTGTTCGTTCATTTATCAAACGAACATAAAAAAATTGTTCATACTCGTTTATTTAGCTTAACAAACAAACATAAACGAACGTTGTACAAACAGTTCACCAAACGCTCTGTTCGTTTACATCCCTATCGATGTGTCACATTAATAGTATGTTTCGATTACAATATTCATTCTAGAATATTTTTCATATAATAATAATAATTAGCCAATTCAATTAAGTATCAATTTGATATCTAAAAAAATAATAAATAATTATTTGACTAGAATTAATAGGATTTGAATACCGGATAGTTTAGTAATAAAATAATTAACTTTCTCTCGATCATTCAAGAAGGTGAGATATTCATAATTTATGTACATAGTTACATGTAGAAAATGGAAATCAGCTAAAAAAAAGTAAGCATTATAATCATTTTATCTCAAATAATGAAAATACTTATTAATTGTAAAATTTCAAAACATTTCAAGTTCTAAGAGGAAAAGGCAACGAAATTTTTAGTTCCAAAATTTAATTTAATAATATGATTATTATAAAATTATTTAACTTTTGAAAGGAAAAAAAACTTGATTGTTACAATAATTTGGTTTCGTATCAAAATAAAAAAAATTAAAATTTCAATGCAAATGGACGAGAGCAAGAGCTTGGACGAGTTTAACATCAATGGTGAATTCAGAAATTAAATAAATGAAAGTCCAAATTTTTAATATACATTTAGAAAAAAATTGATATATAATTTTTATTTTATTTTTTCTCCTCTATTTAACATATTAAACTAATTTTTATATATTTTTTAAATAATGAGGATGCACTTGTTCTTCTAAGAGATTTAGTACATCCATCTCTGTTTAGGATAAGTGATCGACTAAAAAAAGGAAAAAAATCATTAAATAAATGTGGGAGAATTTCTTATATAATTTCTCCTTTTCATCTCAAATTGGGAGAACACTTACATTGAAGATGCAAATTAAGCATTCAAGTAGGCATACTCCCAAGACTAAACAAATATTTCCAAAAAAAAAAAAGAGAAAAAAAAACTATACCTTTCCCACCCTATAAAACTATGTTATCTATATAACAGAAAAACACACAAGAACCAAATTACTATAGTTTGATTATAAACTGTTGTGAGCCCATGAATCCTGCTGCTGATATGTCTTCCATGTCAAAGTGAAAAATTGTAGTGATTAACATCAGGTAGCATATCAAGACCACCATAGCAGTCGTCGAAGTTGATCGTCCCTGACATACCTCCCGGCAATGTCGTCGAGGTTTGCATTTGACTGTCGTGAGAAAACAAGTGTCTGGTTTCCTCAGGAAGTATCCTCTGCGAATTATTAGCAGTATCCATAGGCAAAGTCATCATCAAGTCGTTAGGTTCTTGTGGTTCCTTGTGCTTGAGTTGTTCTATGAGTAATTCTAATGATGCCTCGTCATCATCTTTAGATGCCAGATAAATATGGCTACTGTTGTTGTTGTTGTTGACATTGTTGTTGTTGTAGTACTGGTTTTGATTGCTTGAAGACTCCACAGCAACCGTTGCCACCTTGGATATAGAGAAATACTGCAATCCAAAAAGAAAACAAATCAATATGAATACTTGGCATTATAAAGATATGCAAGGATGGATCGGGAGGGATGTTGTGGGGTGTGGTCGTACTCTTAAAAATATCAAATTTTTATATAATTCAAGTATTTTCTATTAATAATCTAATTTTGTATTTTTTAAAATTTTTAATTTAAGTTTTTAAGTTTATACTCTCTAATATAAAATTTTACGTCCGTCTGTGGAGATATAGGTGTTCTGCAACCTTTACGTTAGAAAAGAAAATAAAAGGAACTATTTCCCCATTTTCTTCACTCTCTACACTTTTTGTCTGGAAAAAAGAGATCAAAATTCAACAGATTTTGTCTACATTTGAGTATCTGAAGTCACAGGGAACGTTCAGTTATATACCAAAACAATACAGATATGTATGTAGTTTTAACTCTTTTTGTCTTTATATTAATAATAATATTTATTTAATAAATAAAAAATAATCAAATAACGTGTTATATATATGTATAGTGAGATGCCAAGTCCTAGCTGTCTTGTGAAAAGGCAAGTCTACACTGCCAACACATCATCAGTTACGTGTCATTTAAAGCTACACCTTTATGTCTATTCTAACCCTCTCTTGTTTATATAGGAGCATGGATACTACCAGTAAATACAGAGAAAAGGCAAGGGCATCACTGTCCTCCAGCGAAGCTATAACCAAATATTTTACTTTAATCTTAATTACTAGGATTAAGTAAGGGAAAAAAGTAAAACTCACGAGATTCATGCTTTCATCTTCATAAAGTGTAAGAGAATCTCCAATTCTCATTCCATTTTGCTTCACGAAGTCTCCTGGGGAATTGAATAATGGGATGAGAAATATAGTGAAATTCAAGATATCACATGAAAGAATTCAAGTAAGGAGAAGGTACCAGTGTTTTCCAGAACATACATTCTACTTTTATTATTGATCCAGAACCTGAGACATCAATGAACAAAAGAGTTTAGCCCTTAAAATGGTGTCCAAAACTAGTTTTGCTTATGGCAAATCTCCAAATCAAATTATAAGTATTACTTACTTGTACTTGAGGGTCCACTCATTGTTAGAGTACACATCCTTCAATGTTACTTGGATGCCTTCTTTATCGTATAGTGTTGGAAGGTTTGCTTCTGTCTCTCTCTGGTTTGAGTTGCAGATAGAAACCATAGATAAAGCTTAAGACTTGATTATGACATTTTTAGAAGATCGGTGGAATATAAATCAGCATGCAAGATAATCATAATTTGCATGCCAATAGAAGCATTAAAAAATAATTAACACCTTCACAATGATTTTTTAATGTGCGAGAATCGAGAAGTCAAGAAAGGAGTAATATTAGTTACTGCACAGTGTAAGATGACAACCATGTTGCAGTAATCAATGAGAGGAAATGAGGAAATAGTTATTGGTTGGCTCTTTGCTTTTTTAAGACTTATTTCTTCTCTTCTTTCAAAATTCATATTTTAAAGTGGAAGAACAGGCCTTGAGAATGCCCTTTTGGATCCAATAAAGTAAATGAACCTCACCTTTGGAAGAACAATTCTCCCAAGAGACCCGACATCACTGTTCTTCAACTCCTTCTTTAGCAACACTCTTAGTTTCTGCATTATTCCAAGTTAAACAATTTCAGTGATTAGTCAAGAACTCAAGATAATGAAATTTGAAAACCAAAGTTCAACAAGTTTACAAAATGCACCTTGTTGTCTGGTGTTATAAAATTACAGTGATCCTTATTGGTATCATTATTTTGTCTCATGTAAGTGTTAATACCAGAGGGGATCAGTCTCCTTGCATCCACCTGCGTTGAAGCCACCGGAGTAGCATTTCTTTGCAAGCTGAGGCTTCTTTGCCGTGCCAGCTTTCTGTTAATCCTTGCCATCTTTGTTCTGTTAGGATCCATTATTCTTCTCTCTTGGTCCTTCCATACCCCAAAATCAAAGCAAGGATACATAGGAGGAGCCTGCTCCATGAGATATCTGTATGGGAGTTGCAGGCTCTGGTAAGGTGGCAAAAGTTGTGACGGATGTTGAAATTGAGAGCTCATTGGTTCAATGGTGGAGAAGTTTGAATTCGAAGAGCAACCCATGTTTGAGGTGGAATTGGTGGGTGTGGTGCTAGTGGTGGTGGTGGCGGTGGGGGAAAAGGGTATGTAAGAGTTCTCCATGAGGACAAAGGTGCAATGCGATGATGATGAGTGTAAGGAATTGCAGTGATGGTGATGATCAGGGAAGAACGTTGGTGAGAGTGAACTACTTTGTGTGTGTTCTTTTCTGTTTTGAGTGAGAACAAAGTGTGGTTCAATAAGGTCGTGGGGATGTAAGATGCTGCCATTAGGGTGAGTCCAGGTGTGAAAAAGGCATGAGAAACGCGTCAAGAGGTGCAGAGGGATCTGTTGTGGAGAGAGAAAAAGGCCATGGAATTGCATATAGAGAGTGAGAGAAGCAAATAGAAAAGAGGTTGCCAATGGGGTGGTGGAGTGGCTGACAAGTGGCCGGCGAAAAGTGGTTTTGGGATACTCATCTGACCAGTGAGTGGGCTTGAGAGAGTGTTGGCGCCACCTTTGGTTTAAATGTGCCTCATCTATTGACCTCATTCTGCACAAAACACCAAGCATCGATCCTTGCATAACTTACAACCTTCTGCATTTAAACTTCATAAGGGGAAAAAAAGGTGAAACCTTGCAGTAGCCAATTGCTAAAACCTTAAAACCCTAGGGAGATAAGCAGCGTTTTTCTAGTTTTTTTTTTTGTAAATAATGCCTCTATTTGTGAGTAAAAATGATGGTTGAATGGTTTGGATCAAAGTGTGGCTGAAATCTAAGTAGGAATATAGGCTTCCATGAGGGTTGTTTAGAACGATCAAAACCAACAATCAAATCTAATTAATGAAAAAAAGAATCGAACTGAAAATTTTGGTGATCAATGCATGAGATGATCATCTAAAACAAAACAGGAACCATATGCCTTTGAAGTAGGAAAAATCAAGTTGGGAATTGGAAAATGCAGTATGTTTCAAGTATAAAAATGTCAAGGATCAAGAAAAGCAGTTCAACATGAGGGTATCAAAACGAATTATCATGTGTTTATGTTTATATCAATAGAGAAAAGGCGCTGCCAAACAATACATGCAGATGCTCCCTGCAGCTTAATTATAGTTAACAATCCTCTGGATCCCGGCTAGATTAATGCAATAAAGGAACAAACAGTCAAATCCTGCTTCTTTACCAAGAAAAATGATATTAGCATAAGTGCAAGAACCTTTATTTGTGCATGAAAGCATTGCTAAGCCGATTAATGATTGTTAATGTCGATTTCAGACTTTCAGTCCATTGTAACATGCAGATGCTAGAGACAGATTGTATCAACATCTTATTAGGAATCAGGAACAAGTATGCATCCAAGCAACGCTAAATCTTGTTCTTACCAGAAAACATGTAATCAAGAAATCTTCATTTCAATAGCACAATCCTAAGATGAACCTGAAATATGGATAAACTTTAGGTGTCATGACAAAGAAAAGTAGGAAATCAACTAAATACATCAGCTAAAATAAGAAAGCCTTTTGATTACTTACAGATCAAGGAATCATCAACAAAAGACCTCTATCCATCACCTATAAGATTCTACAACTAATAACTTCGGGTGATTTTTGGATTCTGAAAGCAAGAGAAGCAAATTCAGAAATGGTAACATATAAGGAATTCTTTTCTCAAGAGAGGATTGAGATCAATGGGCTGCGAGGTGATTTCTAGGCACAACCGTGAACTATATAGACCAAGAATCAGAACTTCATGCAACAAATGAAGCATAGGTATGCAACACTTGCCGAAGATACCTATAGCTGTCAACATCTAGAACGTAACGCCGAACACGTTGTATGAGTGCCATTGATTTCACGCCACGATAGCAGAATCGCTTCATCGTTCATATCGATTTCCTTATTTGTACATTTTTAGGGATAAAATTACAAAAGAAATATCGGCTCGAAATATATACTGACAAACATGTCCTATTGAAGCCAAACTAAGCCCATTTCCAATTGCAGGCCTTGGCGTTTATAAATATCAACTTGTCTGCAAGATAAAGCGATTCAAAGACTTCAGCTTTTGGTACAATAAACTAAAATTGATAGGCAGCATTACTAATAAAGAAATCAAAGCAGAAACAGTAATAGATTCCGAAACCGAGATTTCATAAAAGTATAAAGGAAGGTTGAAAGGTATTGTGAAACTTCATAAAGCCACATTAGGCACCTTTCTATACTTAAAAAAACTTATGGTTGATAGCTGCAGGACCTAGAAAGCGGCTGGTAAATCTTTATTTGTGGAAGCTTAGATTCTACTTAATGCTTTTGCATTGAAGCTGTCATAATTGTCCGAAATCCTAACATAATATTTGTGCTATCCTAGGAACATGCAGAGTATCAATCATGGTAAAATTACAATCTATGCTGATATGTAACAGATGGTGTCTGATTCTTTAATTTGATAACAAAATTTACAGAACTTAGCCATGGTTTGCAGTTGTTCTATCACAACAATTTCTTCAGTAAGAACTGAACTCAATATCTCATCATGAAAGATTTTATGATCATCAGCTGATCACAAAATATTTGAGCATGATTACTTAATGTTTCCTTGAATTCCAATCATTTCAATTAAGGAAAAGTTTAAAGACAACTTCAATGAATCTTTGCATTAAAAATTTTGGTTCAGTCATTAATGCAAATAAGAAAAGAATGTGTTCTTCCAAAAAGAAAACCTTTAATAAATGCTACACATGTCCCTAAGTTATTTGACTCCTAACATCCTATTATAGTTCCATCCCTGTATTCAGACATGTTCACGAGAATATGATGCTTCTAATATATTGAAACTTAAGTATAAAATACATATACAGATAAACACACATTAAATACATACCTATCCAACATGCAGCTCCCAATAAATCTTGTTTTTTCTTTCATGAGTAACGTTGAATTCCCCTTTAAGCGTTATAATTGTTCGAGAGGGAGCTGTATAACAGGCTTGGGACAGTTGTAAGTAAGCAATGGAAGATGGTTCAAGCATTGTTCCCGGATGTGGTGGCCCAACCCAAAGCCATGTTATGGTCACCACCGATCAGGGATGGACCGAAAGGAATTGATGAGAGCGGTCGTCTCTTTAAAAAAACTCAAATTCTCATCATTTAAGTATTTTCTTTGTAAATTTTTGTTGATAACCTATTTTCGTTATATAAAATTTTATAAATTTATCGGATAACATAAAATCATATGTAGGTCCCGGTTCATGTTGTATTTATATGAATGTAAGGTTGCAAAACAAGATGGAGCCAACGAAGTCCAAACCTTTTCTCAAAGGCACCACATGTCAAACACATGGCGTTCATACTACAACATGTCGATAAATCAAGCTTCCACCTTCTTTATTTCTGCTTCGATCCATAAAGTTGGCGAGGTTAAGAGCCGAAGTCTATTGGGGATGCATTGTAAGGACTATGAAACTATGTTATACACACATGAAGATGCGTTTCGGAGGAAAAACTATGGATCCTCAACAATGGCAACAATGGGATCCATGGACTCCTATGTTTTCGGATGAAGAAACACAGTGGAGTGTGAGGGAAAACTGAGGAGAATGAGTTGAGGAAATTGGAGAAAATCGTTATTATAACAGTCGGAGAACCCCATCACCGTCCTGAGAGTCACTCTACTGTCGTAGAAAAGTCATTTCGACTACCTATCATCTTTATGAAGACGTACGGAAGAATTAATGTCTTCTTTCAAGATACATGTATACCCGTAAATTAATAACGTTGTAATTTGAACGATATCTTCTAGTTTTTAAAGACGTCATTTTAATCCCGATATATCCCATAAGTTTTTTTTTTTTGAAAGGGACACTTTGTGTATAACTGAAAATATACATAGTACATCACCTTAAAGGTCTCGTTAAAAAATTTCTCTAATCCTAATTGAAGAAAAAGAGTGCACCTTGAAGTGTAATAGAAAAAACAATTACAAGGAACATACATAAACAGAATAAAGATATAAACTTTCAATATGGAGGAATCAACAACAACCGATAATACACAAGGCCAGCACGAAGACCAAAAACACACTAAGCACCGACATATGAACAAAACAATCTACAACATCAAACCATAAAAATCAGGATTATCCCGACGACCAATAAACACGCACTCGGAGCTTCTAGATATGAAAGAAACCAACAACCTCATAATACCACAAGCAAGAATTCGCACCAGACAATAAAATACAAACTCCACGACACCATCATTCAACAAGAACAACCCAACTATCTAATCTGAATAATCGCACCATAAGTTACCAGATAATCTGGATATCTTCGATAGTGTATTATAACAATGATTCTATATGAAGATTTAATTTCTAAGCCCCTTTTATGAACAAATCCTTTTTTAAACCTTATTTGGTAAGTAAATTTGTCATAATTTAACTGTATATTTAAAAAATAATAATTTTAAAATCATATAATATTAAAATATATAATTTGAGATGTATTAATAATTGATCATTAAAACTTTAAAAAACTATTATATATATATATATATGTTGTACGAATAAAAAATTAAATTATTTGAGTAATTGTATAATAATATAATCATATATTAATCACTATACTTAAAAGGTAAATATATCGTAAACTTATATTTTCTTTTATATTCATTAATTTTATTGTTAAAAACATATTTAAAAAACAATATTATATAATAATTTAAAAAACTAGAATAACATAATATTACATAGATTAATATTTATTATATTGACAAGATACTGTCAGTAAATTAAATTATACTACGTCATTCCAAATTTTTAAAATAAAATATTATCACCGATTAAAAAATATTTTAATTTTTTCATCGTTATTAATTAATATTTCTTTTTTAATGAATCAATACTCTAATAATTCATTTTTATAACTTTTAACTTTTTAATATTATTAATATTTATTTATTTTCTTAAATATCATCTTTAGATATTATTTGATTGAAAATATCGAATTGATGAATGTTATTTATAATACTAATCTTAATTTTAAGATAAATCACATATATTATAACAAAATTCTTGTACATAGGCACGAATCCACGTCATAGGTGGTCGAGGCAGTGGGATCTCCAAACTTTAATGATCTAATAATATTTTAAGTCACTGATAGTTTTAAAATCATTACAATTAAGTCCTTATCTCTCCCAAAAAATTTTGGTATACTTATTTTCTTAAGACAATGTCACTTTTAAAATTAATCGAGTGAAGCTTTGACGTCAAATTTTTTTGATTTAATTATTTTTTAAGACCTTTGAATTTTAAAATTAGTGAAATTAAACTATAAATCTCTTAATTTTTATGGTTTAATTATTTTTAAGGCCCTATTTGTGTTAAAGTTAAATCATTTGTCCTCTCATAGTTCAATCATGACTACTATGTCCCTACTTATAAATTTTTTTAATGCATAAATTTTGTGCTTGTATTTGGCTAAAAGCTCCTCTTGTTCACATTCTTGTTTCAGAGATCACATTGTCATATATGCTACACTCTACATTACTAGAA